ATCCCGTTGACGGGTGATTGCTGATGGCAAAAAGATCGATAGAACTGCTGAGATACATGCAAAGCGAAGGACCCGGATGGTGTAGTGGTGAAGTGCGCTGCTCCCCGGTAAGGACAACAGCGCGTGTTCGTCCCCACTGCATACACCTGTGGTCCAAGGTTTCGCAAATATCTCAGCACTTCATACGAGTTATAATCTTCTAACTTCTCATTTACTGTGTTTTTTTGATAACAAAATATGATGTGAAGTACAACCACAAAGATAGATGCTGATTTATGAGGAAAACTCGTAACACTTGAACACCTGAAGCTGGGCTTCGAATCCGTGATTATCCTTTTCGGGGGCCCACGTGGTATCCACAACACCACCCGAAGTCCTAGCTTTGCCTTTCTATAAGCCGTGCTTGCGTACCGAACCCAATTGAGATAAAAGCTGCAGTCGAAACCACAAAGTTCTATCTTTTACTTACTGCCTGTTCTTTTTTCATGGCAGCGTACGTTGTGAGATACAATCACGAAAATGCTTCAACTTAAATGGGTCCAATGGGAACTTTTGCCCTCCAGATTATTTCCGTTGACGGGCAATTGCTGATAGCACTGAGAGTGAAAAAATGACTAAGAGAAAGGGAAAGCAAGAGGATCGGCTAGTGTGGTGGATAGCACTTGAGCTCCGATAAGAGTAATCGCGGGTTCGAAGCCCACCTGAGGCTGAGTCGTGGTCATATCTCGGTATACATGTGGTTGTAGTTGTGAACGTATTTGTAATGAACATGTAATCATTTACAGAAAAATGGATACATGTACTTCGCGATAGTTTATTCAAATACTACTATAAGACTAAACAATACTGCCAGAAAAACGAACACCGGAGTTGTTGCCATAGGACTAACTAGAGATGAGTAATAAGCACAACTTCTGGTCGATTTCTTCCCATTTTTCATTGCCATGGAAGGAAACCACCCCATTTCTTGTAGAGTAGTAGTATTTAGAAAAATATGAGCAAAAAACCCGTTGTAAAAATCACCATACAGACAAAACGTTAACGAAAATCTCGGTGAACTACCAACAAACCGTTGTCGTACTTCAACAGCACAATATCTCAACAGAAAATGATGAGAACGTAGAAAATTCTAGATAATGACAACTTCTTATAGGATATCTTCTGGATACTTCATGCAGTGGCAGCAAAGTGCAAAACGAAATCATTGCTAAACTTCAAGTGAGATACTCCTTCATAATGTTAAAGAGCTTAATAAAAATAGAAACAACGGCGTAAATTACTTCACATCTTTCACAATCAAAACTAAACTTCCCCATTCTCACCGACTTTTCGTTTCAGCGACGGACCAGACTGAGAATAGTTAGTGTTCGGTGGTAAATTAACAACCTCGTTCTTCAGTCTTCGTTCTTTTACAACTGCTGTAGTAAATGGAGTCGCAGTTTTCTGTCCAACAACGTTTTCGCCATGCTTGTTGTCAACTGAATTTTCTTTAGTCTCCACCGCTTGGTTCTTTTCGGTCGTGTCATCATCGTGCTTCACCTTATTCAACTTTACAGCGCCTTCTCCTTCCGATTCTATAAAGAAAAGTTGGATTATTAGGTATTTCAAAACCGAAATTCCTTTAATCTCGGTATGACTAATCAACATGTATTCTTTCTTTGATGAGTTGATACGAGGTTGATAACATTATTTTCGGCTAACGTTTTGACGGTATCGCCTTCGTCAGAGCCTATGATCTGTGTCGATGGTCCACAGTTATTCGTGTTCTCGAGGTGGCGTCTTCGTCGCGCGTCAAGCCGGTTTTCCTCAGTGGAGCATCTCTGTCTAATTTGAGGAAGACTGGATTTGATGCGCAACGAAGGCGCCACCTCGAGAAGACGAACAACTGTGGACCATGGATTCGGATCATCGGCTGTGATGAAGACGACACCGTCGAAACGCTAGCCGAAAAAAGTATGTGATCAACCTCGTGTCAGCTCATCAAAGAAAGAATATATATAGAACAATAGGATCTAAACGTTTCAAGGTCAACACAAAACAACAAATTAGTTCAGATGAAACCATTACATTCAACATAAGAGATAAAAAGCTCTTGGCGTTGATCAATATCTGAGGGATGCGCCATGCACTCGACTTCATTCAGTATCGATGGACTTTAAGCACACAGATATAGACTCGCGGTCGCCAACCGATGTATGGAGCCAGTACTTCTATCCTCCCAGACAAGTCTGGTACCAATTTGCCGAGCCCGGAGGGACGGAAGGTTTGGTGAGCCTGGGACTCGAGGATCGGTCTCCTATGTATCACAGCGCGCCTTTGACCACTGCGCTACACGCGCCTCTATATTCAACATATATCCATGTAATAATTTCAAGCATAACCCAAAGCCGCTTTTCTTTTACCTTTATCATGCATTTCAGCATATTTGGACAACTCTTGCACAATCTTCTCCTGCTTTTTTATGAGATCCTTTTGTTCTTTCCGTTGTTGCCTCATTTCCGCTAGTAAACTTGCTGCTTCTCTATCTTTTCCTATGGCAGCCAGACCAGCAATACTGTCCAGCTTCTGAAAATGTTTACAAGTATACCTGTCATAAGCACACATATAGAGATGGTAATCGAATTTTCACAACATACCGCCGAAATATTCAAGTTTGCATCCAAAACCTTCTCTTCTAATTTCTGTAGGCTTCTTAAAGCTGGTTTATCGATAGCACCGTCTTTTGGCATGGGCTGAATGAAAAAAAGTGGGAAATATGTACAGAAAGATCAAGAGAGATAGAGAGTGTTGCATCTGAAAACCTTGCGCAACTTATTTTACACAAGTAATAACAATTGTAGTAGGAAGTGTGCATAGCGCAGTGGATAAAGGTGCTCTGCAATGCACACGCCTTCATTTGTGCGATCTGGAGTCCTAGGCTCATTAAGCCTTCCATCCCTCTAGGGTCAGTAAATCGATACTAGACCTTCTGTGAGGATAGCAGCATTGACTTCGGTCGGCCACCGCAGTTCAATGGAATAAGTCAGATATGCATTCAATCAACTCTAAGGATGATAAACAAAGTCGAATGCATGACGTATCGCTCAGGGGTTGATCAATACCAGGAGCTTTAGTCTTTTTAATGTAAACAAATTCATTACGATTAAATTCAAATTAACATGCCTTTTCAACAACATCTGTCGTCCTATCCACTTGTAATGTCGCCCAAGTGCTGACTAGAAGGATAAAACAGCCAGCGACCAGACATATCTTTAATCATTGGTACTATACCGTAAATGTAACTTCAAAATAACGATAATAGTACCTTCGCATATGAAACAGCGTAATGGTCCTTGTTATTGTCTCTAAGAGCTATGAATAGCACTGATGGGATAATTATGTTGACTAACGATCCAACCAGTGAGCCAGTTAATCCGAGTACAAATTCAACTTAAAAAGTAAGTTACTAACATATAAACGGTCGATAAACCAAATCGAATTGTTTTACTAACATTTCCTATACATTCCATTCTATTCAAAAAATAAAGCAAAAAGGCAGTAAATCAACATTTGCGAATTTACACGGACATGCGAAGCCAGTTCAAAAGTGCACTAGGAACCAAACTCTTCCCCTTTTCAGGTGTTTCGACAAGCAACAATAGGACCAATTTGGTTTTTTTCATATAACTATCTACATTTAAGTTGCCGTTGGTAAAATATGACTGTTATAAAAGGGTCAACAACCAAGGCTCCCTTCAGTGGTATGTCGCTTCCACGCTACCGATCTGGAGTGTTCTACGGCGTTGGACTTTCACATATAGTAAAGGCTCGTCTTTCCACCACCGCCTAATCTGGTAAAAAATTCGAAATTCCCAGGTAGAAGACCTGCTAAGAATAAACCTGTTTCAGGAATTGCAAGCTTCTCAAAAAATATATAGCTGGAAAGAAACAAGGTTGCCACTAATCCACCAGTAAAGACTGCTTGTATTAGAGTAACAAGCTGGGAACACAATGCCCTTGCATTGTGATATTAGAACCATAGAACTTCAGAAAAGGGGCATTTGTCTGACTAATATAGTACAAGCCAAACAGAGGATGTGCTGGGCCCATGTTGACAAGTATCTCTGAAAGCTAATATTTATTTTAAAATATTTTTCGAGGATTTTCCATTCATAACTAGCATCGCTCATTAGTTACAAGACGTTTCAAATAACAAAATATTAGTTCTACTAAAAAGATTAGTAGGGATAAATGACGAGAGGTTATGCAAGGGAGGCGTCCATGTTTAAATCATAGTTTTAACGTTTATTTACTGCCAATCCTTTTATTCCTTTTATCACGGCAGAGTATTATGTAAAATACAACCAGAAGGACGCTGAAATATGAGCAAAGGGGGAGGGGGGGGGGGGGGGGGGGGGNGGGGGGGGGGGGGGGGGGGGGGGGGGGGGGGGGGGGGGGGTGGTAGCACAGTGGCAGTGATGCCAATCATCACGAGCACGATGCCCTCCAAATGAGGTCACTGTAGCCCGGTTATCCCAAGGGCTCCAACGAGAACCAACCTAACCAGCATTCCACGACATTCAAGATGAATCCTCAAGCAGCAGCTGAAGCCATACGTAAAAGTTGGAACACCTTCGTGGATGATGGATGCGATGAAACAAATCAGAAATTAGAAGTGCTGAGACCCGTGCAGTAGGTGTGAAAGACGGGTCGTATAAAAAAATACGTGCAGAACTTGGAAGCTGAGATGCGCTTCGCATCCATAATTGCTCTTTCTGGAGTCAATTCTTATCGACTGCACCAACCGAGGCTCTTACTTTGCCTTTCTGTCATCCAACAAAAGTTAAAATATTGTGGTTTTAACTGCAGCTCCAGCACTACCGACTTATGCTCTCCAGATTATTTCCATTGACAGGAAACAGCTAGGTAATCGCGTGTTTGAAGCTCACCTGGGATTATGAGTTTTGGTGTTATCTTGAGATGCTTGTAGCTGTACTTCTCATTTATAACCACAGTGATTCCGGGATGTTTGCAAAACTCCAGACCGCAGATGTCTAAAGTGGAGATCGAACACGCTATTACCTTTTCGGGCACTAATGCGCTCACCACCACACCATACGTGTCCTTCGTTTCACGTTTCTCTCAGCCGTGTTTTCACATTTATGCTTGCATCATAATGGAACGAAATAATAATTTCGGATGTGCCAATCACGTGTGATATTGAGACATGCGCCCCTTCGATCCGTTTTCAGACATTTGACATTTATCCAATAATCTTTAATGTCAGTAAATTTTATTTACTAGCATATATGAACATATACTTCGCCTCATTTCTTAAGAAATAAAAATGGCCAATGCTTCTTAACAGATCAAGATCTGATTTGTGCGTTTGTTTTTCATTGGGACTGTACTAAGTTCACTAAATAACGCTGTATAGAAGTATGTGAAGTCTCAAAAGAAGGCGAAATCGTCGAAAGAAGGCGTTTCCTTCACAGTTTCTCGACTATCTATTGTCCATTAACTCCATGAAAAATTTCGAGTTTTACTGAGACGAAAGCAAGACAGTGCTAATTTCACATGAAGAAGACATCCTGTGTTGAAACGGCCATTATCATTGACAACTGATATAAAGACCAAGGAAAAAGGTTACCATTTTCGGCATTTCTGATGCGCCGATTTGAGAGTGTTAGAAATTAGCTTATTTAAACTTAATAATGGTATGGATTTCCAAGTGTAGTCTTTTTTCCAATCGAAACCTATCATACGCAAAAAACTTTAGACGAATGCAGTTGAAAAAAACATGTAAAGCAAGGCTCACCATTTGGGATAAGTAGTGCAATCGTTAAGTTGAACAACAAGATCACGAATGTAAGCACATGAAATGTAGAAAAACGCATTGCATGCGAAACAGGCAACTCACATTTACTCTGAAAACTATTTCTTATGTCGATGTGATGTACTGTGTTTTTTTCCGTGTGATCCCGTTATATACTCCCACCGGTCTACCATCTAATCGTGGCTGGGAAGTGCTCCTCGGTATCGTGCTGCGATGTAAAGCTGCAGGTTTCATCTCTCCAGCAGAGCTTCCCAAGCTGAGAAGCAGTTCGGCGTTTCCATCAGGAAGTCTAGCTAAGAGTAAACCAACACCAGGATGCACTACCGTCCTAGTATCAAACAAGTGGGTATGGCGGCAAATTTCTCTCTGATCCACAAGGGCGCCTACTGCCTGTGGTGGTAACGACCTGGGGCCGACTTTGCTAGGCTAACTTCAGGACGCCAGAAAAACACAATGGTTAAACAGGCAAAACTCCGAAAAGTGGATATTATGAATGTGTCGTTTTCTTGCTCAGCAATCGCGAGGTTTTTAAACAGCATACATTTACTTCCATAAAGAAAACACAATACAATACAACGCTAGCTGACGTTTCGGCAGTATCGCCTTCTTCAGAGCCGCTTTTTCGTGACTTCCAATGAGGAAGTTTGGAACAGCTGATTATAGTCGCATGTGGTTGACGACGACGAAGTGGATATTATGCTGGGGCCCGCACAATCAGTGAGGACGGGCCGTCCAAGTATTGAAATAAGTAGATCCCGGTACATAATCGACACACTAGTCAAATGTCGCTCAAACCGTAAGAATTTTTTTTATGAAAAGCTTCTAAGTAGAAACCGAAAAACAACGAGAGTACAAAATTAAAATGAATGAAACATGAAACGAAAACTTACTGATCGCAATATTAAATTAAATAACGCGACTCTTGCTGGAAAAAGCATCAGTGGTATTGAGATTGCTATGGACAACATGAAGGCGAGTTTCAAAAGCTGTGTGAAGAACGATGATTCTAACTCAACAAGGACATCGCCATGAAGTGTTCGGGAGAAGAAGGCCACATATCCAAACAACCCCACACCTGCGTACCTAGGACACGTTTAAGGTTTAGGAGTTCAGAACGTGACTATGTTTGAGCTGAAAACAGAGGTATGAGTGATCGGCTCTGACAATCAACAGTTACTTACAAAGCAGAGCAGAAATTCACTGCACTGGATACGACACCATCAACTCGTGCCGCTGATGCATCTCGGATGCAGTCAATTACGCAGAATAATTGTGTCTGACATGACAGTGCCATAGAAACAATTGGAAAACTGTAACAGAATTTTTAGTGAAAAGCCTGGCTATATTGGAACATTACTGAATGGTATAAAGCAAGAAAAGCTAGAACAAAGCAACAAGTTTTGCCTCTCTATTGCTCGTTGACCGAATTCTCTTGTTCTTCCAAGACCTCAGTTTTCGAGACTACGGTCCGTATAGTGCAGTGGTTAGAGATGCCTTCTAATGCATATGGTGCTGCTCAATGCCGCACCGTTAGGCAACCCTCACCACCCTTCTGTGACTGAGAGATAGGTAACAGACTTTTTGGAGAGGATAAACATATTGACTTGAGGCATCGGTGGTTTCCCACGACTATGTATTCAACGACCTCTACGATGCTTGTCGAATGGTCGAATGCATGGCGGATTGATCGAACCGAACGCTTTACCTTTCACTCTTTCATCAATTCTTGTGAAGGAGATAAGACATGAACGTAAAAAGTAAGAGCAAAGAAATCCAAATGTGTTTCCAACACAACTGACAGCACTGATACGGATTTCTCAGGACATAATCACACAGGCTAGAATATTAAAGCCATACAGTAACACAGAACTATGATCTATTTTGTGGCCAGGATATTCAGAAAAAAACGGAAAACAGAATTTCAATACAGTCATGAACTCAAGGTTTAGTTTTCTTTCACGACACAGAATATCGAATTTATCTGAAGTGCAAAAGAAAAAAGGCATACCAGGTTAGAAATCCAGCTGGGCGCCACCAATAAACGTGGATACTCCATTCCCCTACCCATAATGTGGGCAAAGCTTCTAGGATCTACAAAAATAACAGTTCGAATAATTTAATAGCATAGAAACCCGTCACGTGCAAAGAATTTTCTGCTGTTTTCATATTTAGCCCGCGTTCGTGAGGAAGAATCATTCCACTAATGCTAAGAAAAGGAGAAGAAGAACTAAACGTGCTCGGAAAACGCTCCAACTCACCATCCTGATCACAAATATTGCATAGAATAGAATGGCAAACGAACTTATAACGGAAAATGTCTCTAGATCCTTGATTAGACTTAGCGGAAAAATGACAAGTAGTAGTACAACCACCTATGAATTATAGTAAGCAAAATCCTGAACATTTACATCAACATAATAGAGTTTCATCAAAGAATTTGTACAAAGACTGATTGCACGATTTGTCTGCGACACAAGCGCGATCCTATCATAGAAGGTTTCAATGGGATTAGGTCTGCATGAGAAAACAAACCATGGTAAGCGTGCGGAGTCGCTGAGTAGGTGCTTCTAATTCCAAATAATCTGCTACAATATGCGGACCAATGTCTCCTATGAATACAGTTATTATCGCAGAGATTTTTCATCAGTAAAAAAATAAAGCAAAGAGAAACAGCGATTCAGTAACATAAGCACGAGGATAAGCCTACCTATAACAACCATGAACGCAACAATGGTTGAGATCAGAAACGAAAGCAGACACAATTCAACAAAACGACGACCAGATGAACCTAGAGCCTTCAAGGCCAACGCTTCATAACTGTGTTTACTGGAAACTAGTGTTATCTTACTACTAAATTGTGGATTTGACATGCTCAAGGTACTCCCAATAGCCTACGACTTGTGGCAAAACCAAAGGTGAATGAAATTCTACCTGGACGTGAATGAGGCCATTGAAAGAAAGTGACATGTGTGCTTCGTAAGCACAGCACAGACCCCAATCATTATCACTGCTAAGAGAATCCCACACTGAAACAAATAACAAGTAACCAGCTAGCAAGAAAAAGCACAGTCAAAAAGAACCAATACAAACTTTTGCATAAACACTTAAAAAGAAACAGGTGTCGCATTTCCCAATGATGTAAAGAAATAAAAAACCTGACCTGTTGAAACACGAACGGCATTGCTAATACAGACACGCCGACAATACAGTTAGCGAGGTTAAACACATGCGGCCATGGACTAAAATGTAGTCCAGTTTTTGCTTGTACATGTTCGGCTTCGACATCGTCTTGTTCTAAAGACTCATCACGATCCGAAAAAAAAAATTTCTGGACACAAAAGTGAAGAAGATATCTGCTGTGCTAACAAGACTAATTGAGAACATGTTACTTTGCAATGACATAAATCGAACGCTCCTCAGCCGCTTCTACATCTCCAACGCACAGCAGGAATTGAACCTGACTATGGCTTTCGAATTTTAATTGTCCATTTACTTCGCTTAGTCTATTTGTACCTCTGTATCATCTCCATAATCAGAAAAAGGTGCTACTTGCTCCCGTAACCAACAGTCCCACATAAAAAGCATAGTCACTGAGGAGCTTCTGCTAGCGTACACGATTTCCGTTTCCATCTCGCAATATACACTGGGAAATAATCTACGTATTCCGCGTCTCATTCTCTATTAAACGTTGCACTTTTAGGAACTTCCATATCTCGAAGACAAAAAATTTCCCATTTACGATCTCGTGTTACATTAAGAAAGGCGCGTGTAGCGCAGTTATTAGATGTGCCTTGCAATACACATCGATTCTAACCCTCACCCCAGGCTCACAATGTCTTCCATCTTTCTGGGTTCGGTAAATTGGTAGCAGACTTCTCTGGGGGATAGTAGCACCGACTTGATACAACGGTTGCTCATCGCGAGTCATTGTAAAGGCAACATATCCATTCAATCATCTCTAACGATGCATGATGAAGTCGAATGCATGGCGCATTCCTCACGGATTGATCGGCACTGAGAGCACTTCTTTACCACTGTATGGTTATAGTTTACGATGCCAAACGGCGCTCGATCGACGGTTGCCATGCCAAGCTTTCAACTTCTACTTCGAATAACTTAGGGAGATGTTCGACTCGTTGCCAGAAATTTCAATAGCACCTATTTAATGAAACCTATAGCGGCTGTCTGAGTTTGTCACGGCGACCAAGATAATCCATGGTAACTCGCAATTTCAGAAGCCCTACTCTCAGCGCTGGACGTGGGAGTCTCCCAATGCAGAGTCCCATAACGAAATAGACCATATCATAGTAAATAGAAGGTTTTGCCAAACCGATGTCGCTGTTGTCCCAAAATTCTACACGGGATCCGACCATCGTCTCCTTCGTACAACATCCCATTTCTCACGGAAAAGAGAAAAAGCCGCTAAATTCCAAAACCGAAGACCTAAAACCACCGCAAACTGGGACTTATTTAATTCATTAGTTGGCTGCCACGACCGACTTTCTATTAACCTCGGCATTGATCAAGTGATTTTCTTCGCATTTTTGTTGAGCAAACGCGAGGTGTTATTATTCTTTGTTCACGATTAAGCTGACGTTTCGGCGGATTTCGCCTTCCTCAGAGCCGC